AGGGCCATTGGTCCCTAAAACCTCTCTGAAGGGGCTAGGTTCTGGCACTGGTCCCTTGTAGGTCTGAATTCCTTAGCTAATGTCCCGGTCTAATATAACATACATGAGCCCGATAAGCTCCAGGGAGCCATAGGGGCTCCCCACAGAAGAGAGGTTTTTCCAATCTTGGAAAAAATTCCCAGAATACCCTAGGGCTGCTGGCTGGGTTAGTATTGATTGAGCAACCATGGGTGGCGCACGCGCCTCTGGCTACCAAACACCTGTCTGACACGGTGTTGAAAGATAACGCTGTGTCTGTGAAATTCAAACCTTACTGTTTGAAGAACATAAGGGTCATAATATTGGTGAAGCTAGGCACAGTAAGGACCTAACACAAAAGTCGGATGTTAGTGATACAGCACCTATGAGGACGATACAGCGAGCATATCCAGTTATAGCTCTGAGCGCCACCCTTGCCCACCTATGCTATCTCCAATTAATTTAGATGATACATAGATGAATCGTTTTCTGCATTCAGTGATGATGCATGAGATACAAGTAGCACAGATGAACAGTGTTAGCGGCTACCATGGTGGTGTTTTTCATTGATATTTTCAAGAATAGCTGAATCTCTTCTTGACTGACGGACACTCTTTGAGGCTGGCTGAATCTCTTCCTGTGTGGGATCTTACAAAGAGATCTTTTCCTGTAATCTTTTTAATACTACCTTACGTTTTACAAGCTTGGCTACATACCACCTACAGGTACTAATGCCAAGGGTGTATGTGAGTGCGTTATTTGCAAGCACACAGAACGAAGAAACAAGAAGCGAAAATCTATCTGTACCTGGTGCAACGAGAGCAAAGTTGTGCTGTGTACCATGGACTACTTCGTTGATTATTATTCACTTCTGAAGTACTGAGTGTGTAATACAGTGTGTTACTGTGTATATTGTGTGAAACTGTTGATATTGTAATTTTTAGTGAATTTTTAACAAGTAATATTGCGACAATAAACATTTATTGTGGATACATTACTGACACATGTATCACAGTTCCATGGAACATTATGAACATTCTGCTGTATACATATTGCAAAAGACATCAATATGCATCATATACGATTAAAAAAACAAATAAAACCGCATTGGAAATACATAGAACAAATAATTGAAAATATATTTGTGGCAACACCCGGTGCTTGAATGGCCCGCGTGACCGTGTCTGGGCGTGTCACGCACGGGTGACCAGCTCCTGATGACATCACAGCGCATCTTGTCCACGTCCCCACAGCCAAAGTAAGTGGAATTTGGTATTTATTTTTACATAAACATGTTCAGGGAAGGGAATTTATCATTTTCCAAAGAAAAAATAATTTTTTGGAAACACTTTACTTCATGCGCACAGGGGGAATTTCACAATAAACTCGGCGCAGCACAGTGGTTGGGGTCGTCCGAAATGTTATTAAGTCTAGCCAGCCTGTGATCTGTCGTCACGCCCATGACATTCGTAAGTTTGCTGCTTTGGCTGCCGTCTTCAACACCATGTCTTGGATTGACATTTGCGCACAGGGATTTTGGAGGTCGAAAAGGGTCTTGGTCACCTGTTATTTTGTAAACTTTCCTGGTCCTGGGCATTTGGGTGTGGCTTTGGGTTGCAGGTTGCAGCCAGTTGTCTCGACTTCGAGTTGAGGTGCGTGTGGTGGCCACCTCCCGGGTACGTCTCTCTTTTACTTATCTTGGGCTATATAGCTCCACGAAGCCGAGGCGGCTCCCCACAGGCAACTAGTATTGAATGTAATGAAATACCATTTTCTGGGTGAACCCCGGAGGCTTCCTTACACCCTCCCTCCCGCCAATCAGTGGTTTCGTTTTGCTTTTGATGCTCAGTCTCCAAACTGGGGTGTGTGAGTAGCCGGCGCGGGGGGGATCCAGAGAGAGAAGGGCTGTACGGGACAAGTGGCACGGTGGCAGTAGTGTGACATTTGCTTGTTTTCTTAAGAGTTGGGAAAGTTCTGCCTCCCTGTTTGGTTTTTGGTTGCAATTTTCTTACCAAGTGGGGTTTGTTTTGTTATGCCTACCTTTCTGGGTGCTTAACTCCAGTCAATGGCAGACAAGGAATACCCTCAACCACAGGGGGGTTTCCAGGGGCCATTACTCCCTGTGTCTTTCTGAGGGAGCCAGGTTCTGGCTCATGATCCCCGGTAGGCTGAACTCTATTGTCTAATGCCCTAGATTAATATATATCGCATATCAGTCCAATAGCTCCAGGGAGCCTCCGAGGCTCACCCAGAAAATGGCGTTTCATTACATTCAATGCTGTTTTTTTTTTTGTCATACTGTAGGATTTTCAGTGAATGCTTTCATCATTGATTATTAACCACTGTGCTGCGCCAACTGAGAAAACTCGGTCAGTGGGAAACTGCACCAATCAAGAAAACACCTTTTGAATATTTCGTACCCATTCAAAAGAAATGTGCGGTAGGTTGTGTATGAAATTGACTCTGGGATCTCCAATGAGAGGCAGCCATCTTGGAAAAAATTCCCTGTATGTCTTAGGGCTGCTGGCTGGGTTAGTACTGAGTGAGCGACCATGGGTGGCTCATACGCCTCGGGTTCCTAAACACCTGTCTGACACGGTATTGAAAAATCGCTCTCTGTCAGTGAAATTCAGGCCTTATTCTTTGAAGAACAGTGAGCGTATTCAGTTGTAGCTCCGAGCACGCCACCCTTTCCCACCCATGCCATCTCCAATTTTTATAGATGATACATAGATAAATTGTTTTCTGGATTCAGTGATGATGCATCTGATATGAGTAGCATAGATGAACAGTGTTAGCAGCTTCCATGGTGGTGTTTTCCATGGATATTTTCAAGAATAGCTGAATCTCTTCCAGATTGGCTGAATCTCTTCCTGCATGGGACCTTACAAAGCGATCTTTTCATGACTACCTTACAAATTGATCTTTTCCTATAATCTTTTTACAACTACCTTATGCTTTACTAGCTTGGCTACATACCACCTACAGGTTCTAAAGCCAGGAGTGTCTGTGAGTGTGTTATTTGCAAGCACACAGAATGAAGAAACAGGAAGCAAAAATTTATCTGAACCTGGTACAATGAGAGCAAAGTCGCGTCGAGTACCATGGACCACTTTAATGATTATCACTCGCTTCCGAAGTACTGAGTGTGTAATACAATGTGTTACTGTGTAAATAGTGTGTGAAACTGTACATATTGTAATTTTAGGGAATTTATAACAAAGTAATATTGAGACAATAAACATTTATTGTGGACACATTACTGACACATGTATCACAGTTCCATGGAATATTATGAATGTTCTACTGTATACATATTGTAAAGGACACAAATATGCATCATATACGATAAAAAGAACAAATAAAACTGCATTGGAAAAATATAGAACAAATAATTGAAAATATATTTGTGGCAACTCGCGGTGCTTGAATGGCCTGCGCGACTGCCTCTGGGAGCTTCATGCACGGGCGACCAGCCCATGACTGCCCCTTCTCCACGTCCCCACAGGCAAAGTAAGTGGAATTTTTTTTTTTTTTTTTTTACATGTACGTGTTCAGGGAAGGGAATTTATCATTTTACAAAGATGAAAAAAAATTTGGGAACACTTGATTTTATGCGCACGGGAATGTCATAATAAACTCGGTGCATTACAGTGGTTAAACATACATGCTGCTGCTATATTTATTTGCAATTTTTTTGGTGGAGTCGGAGAGCTTTAGTATTTTTGTATTTTTCCAACATAATATATGTCTTAAAGTTTAATGAAATGTGAAATTAGCAATTTTCTTTCAGGTCTTTATTGCATGTTTGCATTCTTTATCAGATTGAAGATGCTAAGTAAATGCGAATGTGAATATTTTTCCAAATTCAATTAAATTTGCATTTGTTTAAATACTGTAGACAATATGTAATTACTTTGATTGTCTCTATTTTTACATTTTATGACTTCAGTGATCTGGAGTAAATAGTTGAGGTTGTTGGAATGAATATGTTATGTTTGAATTACATCTAGAACTGGAAATGTTGTTATATTCTACTAAATAAATGACCCATTTGTACCATTATATAATTTTGAAACTAACGATGAGTTTTATCTAGCATCCTAGTCACAAGCCATCTTTTGATCAGTGCTTTCATCTTCTTCCTCCCTCTTTCCAGTATTTCCATGTTTTGATTGAGTTTCCACTCTATGCTGTTCTTATTCTTTATTACCTGTACCATTTGAAGAAATATTTTTGCTAAACCATTATTTGGAATTTGCAAAAGAATGTGTTCACAGTACTTTAATTTATTGTTTGCTTTATCAAGCCTTTTTTTTTTAGCTTTGTACAGTATTGTTACTTAATAATATAAACTTTAAAAAGACATTTATAATCTAACTTCAATCCACTTCTACCTAGGATTTTTCAGTCTATTTCTTGTTGTTAAGTTGTTAACAGGATGATGCTCATTTTCCAAGTTGTTGAACCTCTGCTAGTTCTTATTGCGATGTTCATACCTGCTTTGTATTCTTTCTTGCTCTGATAGAAACTGTTGCCCTAACATTTTATAATTGCATTATTTTTGTGCTTATATTGTGTATTGTCACCCAAGCTTGTTTTGTTGTGTAGTTTTAGAATTGTTTGTATATTTCTAAGTGTTTTATTTTGAAAATCTAGAACCAAGTCCTGCAAATAATTATTTAATGAATTATTAGTCATTTAAGTAAAATACTGTATAGTGGTGAAAGTTAAAGTAAATATGATACTTTATTTCAAGATACTGTAGTTGTTTTTCCTGATTCCATTTGCATTCTTATTAGCAGCACTGTTTTCAAATATAGTAGATACCTTTTTTGTAGTGTATGTAGTGAGAAATAAATCAAGCATCAATGGAACTCTTTTGAGTTATTTTCTCTAACCATTTAATCATTCTAAACATAATTTTGTTTTCTTCCACCAACTGCCACATCGTTCATCCACATGCTTTGGACCTACGTCAGACGAAAGACAACAATGCCTAAGTATGATGCACCATATCTCAAGAGACCTATAGTGAAGAAGCCTCCTCAGCAGCATCTCCAATCCATGATGAGTAAAACAGAGGAAACATCACTCGATATGGGTAGCCGAATTACATTTGGCAACATGCCCAGTTATAGGTAAGAGACATGATGCAGTCACTATCTATATAGTGTACAGACTTGTACAATATACAGTACATTAATTCATTGCAACAAAAAATTATTTTAAAGCCTTTTCACAAAAAACAATATGATGGAATTTACATTACATTTACAGTGTGTTTAGCAGGTATGTTTGTATGTAAGAGGAAGGGTGTTTGTGTGGAATGGGTATTTGTGTTTGAGCCAAAATGGCTTCTTCCAACATTCCTTTTGCCGTTATACTATATACACGTTATATATAAGTATCTACATTTGTGTTCACCATAGCGAACCACAAAGCTTGTATGGTGATGGGAGACAGTAATAGGTGGCCACACACAACTGATGCTCCCTCCCTCCCTACCTTCCTCACTGGTTCAAGGCCAGACGCACTAATATTGCTCCTTCAAGTATACTGTTCGTGGTGTTATTACACTAGATACACACATATATAAATATCTACATGTTTTGTTCACCATAACTGTTCACCTGGTGAACAGTTATGGTGAACACCAGAGTCATTATATATATATATATATATATATATATATATATATATATATATATATATATATATATATATATATATATATATATATATATATATATATATATATATAAATATATATACATATATAATATATATATATATATATATATATATATATATATATATATATATATATATATATATATATATATATATATATATATATATATATATATATATATATATATATATTATTTATCGAGTTTTCAGTCGCATATAGTCCTGGGGACCATTCAGGCTTGTTCGCATGTATATATTATATATAGTATAGTATAGTCTTGGTAATAGCATCCCCTCCCTTTCCGGCCCGTTGTTGTGGCGAGGGGCTTGGTGGGCGACTGCTGGAGTGTGATGTTCCATGGGACTTTGTCTTTTTGTAGCCTTATGCTCCTGCTGCTGTCTTTTTGAATTTTGACGGATAACTTTTTCTTTTCCTTGTGTTTTGTTTTTTTTACCCCCCCCCCCCCTCTTCTCCTTTTTCATTGTTGTTTCCTGCCGATGTTTTGCCAGTTTTGATTATTCTTTTGGCCTTCTGTTTTGACGTTCAGGTGTTTGCGGAGGCATACTCTCTCACCTGTAATACCCGACGTCTCGAGCAAGGGGACACTTTTATTGTCAATCCTACTTTCGTCACTGAACCCGTGTCTCGATGGACTGACGGTTCTTAATCGTTAAACCGCGCAAATTATATATATATGATGTCAGTGACAAAACCGAAACCTCGCACATCATTTATATATGATTTCATGTCTAGCGCTATAATTTAAATGCCCCACGTGGGATAGGGGTAGTCATAGGCGAGCTTCAACCGACCATAAACAAACCCCACCTAGAAAAAAATCCAGCGTGGGTAGCCTTTTTGTACGGGCCTCAGTTACCCGGCGGACCCCATGGCGAGCCCATCAAGTTCAAACGACCGACCCCGCTCAATGAGGCGTTCCTCGCGACCTCTGACCAAGGACAAAATTAATAAGAATTTGTTCCCGGATAGTGACGAGTCTGATATTGACGACTCTGACTTTAATCATGACTACACACAGCCCTCAGAGGTGGATACGATCGACGATGAGTGTGAACATTCTGGCTCCACCAGGGCTAGGCCTAGCATTTCACCCATGCCTCCTCGCCCTCACTCAAGCCCAGTTTGTGCCAGACCACACAGTTCATGTGCTACCTTGCAAGGTATTGATGTTTTGGTCGATGAGTCTGAAGAAAGTGAATCATTTTCCAGTTTTAGTGACTTAGAATCGGAAAATAGTTTCAGTAATTACCTAAGTGTAATTACCTAAGTGTAGTTACAGGATGAGAGCTACGGTCGTGGTGTCCCGTCTCCCCAGCACTCTTTATCATATATTGATTTGAAATTACTGATGGTTTTGGCCTCCACCACCTTCTCACTTAACTTGTTCCAACCATCTACTACTCTGTTTACAAAAGTGAATTTTCGTATATTTCTCCGGCAGCTTTGTTTTGTTAGTTTAAGTCTATGACCTCTTGTTCTTGAAGTTCCGGGTCTCAGGAATTCTTCCCTATCAATTTTATCGATTCCTGTTACTATTTTGAACGTAGTGATCATATCGCCTCTTTTTCTTTTATCTTCTAGTTTTTGCATATTTAATGCCTCTAACTTCTCCTCGTAGCTCTTGACCTTCAGTTCTGGGAGCCACTTAGTAGCATGTCTTTACACCTTTTCCAGTTTGTTGATGTGCTTCTTAAGATATGGGCACCACACAACCGCTGCTTATTCTAGCTTCGGCCTAACAAAAGTCATGAACAATTTCTTTAGTATTTCGCCATCCATGTATTTAAAAGCAATTCTGAAGTTAGAAAGCGTGGCATAGGCTCCTCGCACAACGTTCTTTATGTGGTTCTCAGGTGATAGTTTTCTATCTAGAACCACCCCTAGATCTCTTTCTTTATCAGAATTGTTTAAAGATTTCTCACATAATTTATAGGTTGTGTGGGGTCTATGTTCTCCTATTCCACATTCCATAACATGGCATTTATTCACATTAAATTCCATTTGGCAAGTGGTGCTCCATATACTTATTTTGTCCAGGTCTTCTTGAAGGGCAGGACAATCATCTAGGTTTCTTTTCTTCCCTATTATCTTAGCATCATCAGCAAAAATATTCATATAATTCTGTATTCCAATTGGATGGGTATGGGTTGCACAAACTACTGGTAACAGGATGAGTATGGGATGCACAATAAATTACCGCACAGAGGATGAGTATGGGGTGCACAAACTGGTTGGATAAATGGAAATGGTTGGGTACATTTCCTTTCACCTAATGCGACTGTTCATGTGTCCGGACACCGGCGATGGTGTGGTATTGGCTATTTATTTAACCATAACTTTGCTTTCATTTAAGATATGTTTTCCTTGAAATATAGTTACATTATCGTCTACATCTGTCTTTATTCTAACCTAAAGACCTTTGACGTTACTTTGCATATATGCAAATTAATTATAAAATTGATTGGCTTGTGTGCATGCCTTTACACTCCCTGAGCGAGGCATCAACTATAAAAAGGCATATATCTTCACTTTCACTTCAGTTATATTTATGCCAAAGTATTAACATGCAGCTTATATGTCTTTCTGATGACATAGAAAACTTTGTTTATTACAGTATTTAGATTAAATTAACATTGATCTTCGAAAAGTCGTAATTCCCATATCGATAGGGAAAGCGTCGGCCAAGAAGCCTCGTTTAAAATATGAATATTTTTCGTCTCTAATAAAGTATAATCTCTGTGATGAATTCACAAAAACTATTTTATCTCTGCCTTTCTGATAACATGTACAAATATAATCTTTATTTGTGAATATTTGTTAATTAAGCAATATATCAGAGGGCGTGTAGGGTTCGGTGTTCTATGAATGAAAAGGACATGATTAGTTTAAATAGCGAACGCATACCAATGAATAACGAATCTATATAACAAAGTTATTGTTCTGTGGAGTTGATTTAACTTCCAGACACGATTTGTTTAATAAATATTAAGTATTTAGTGACTGTTTATAACAGATATTATTATCTTGAGGTTATCTTGAGATGATTTCGGGGCTTTAGTGTCCCCGCGGCCCGGTCCTCGACCAGGCCTCCACCCCCAGGAAGCAGCCCGTGACAGCTGACTAACACCCAGGTACCTATTTACTGCTAGGTAACAGGGGCATTCAGGGTGAAAGAAACTTTGCCCATTTGTTTCTGCCTCGTGCGGGAATCGAACCCGCGCCACAGAATTACGAGTCCTGCGCGCTATCCACCAGGCTACGAGGCCCCCCCTTATAAATACACATTCTACTTGTTAATATCACCAATTAAATTTACGACAATTTGAGCCATGAAGTGCGATGACTGGATCACTGTGTACAGGAGGCTGCTATGGCAGCAAACACTCTCCAGGCGACCATATATCTTGGATAAGTCGCTCCGTAAAATTGTCGCTTGGACCGTCGACTTCCTATGGCGTCACCTGCCACATATTTTTGTCTATTTCATCATGAAATTAGATTATTTTAGAGTAAACTTAGGTTTGATCATGTTCTACGTGTAGCATCAACATTATAGTAAGTAAATATACCATTTTTCTTCATTACTTACATAATGCTAGGAGGATTTGGGTAGATTTGGGTAATTCAAATGACCCAGGCGGAGTAATGCTGTGGGAGGGAGGGTGGTGGTGTCATCTTCTGACTGTGTGTGGCCAACTTTTATTGACTGCACTCACCATACCAGCTTAATGGTTCACTATGGTGAATACAAAAGTAGATACTTATATATAACGTGTATATAGAGTGTAATAACAGCAATAGGAGTAGGTTGGGAGCCGCCATTTTGGTGAGGGAGGTGCGTCGTCTGCACGACTTATGTTGTTTACTGATGGCCACTATGGTCATTGGCCACCATACCAGCTTATTTATACAGGTATGGTGAATAAAACAGGTAGATACTTATGTATAATGTGTATATATAGCATAATAACACCACAAACAGTATTGTTGGAGGAGAAATATTAGTGTCTGGCCTTGAGGACGGCCACCACCAGCTGGCTGTGTGAGTAAAAATTCAAATTCAAATGTTTATTCAGGTAAAATACATACATACAAGAGGTTATACAAAAATTGATAGATTTATAGATAGAGCTAGTACGTCTTTGTGGAGCTGCGTCTGTACGTCTGAGTAGTTACGTCTTGTGCCTTTACTCACCATACAAGCTTAGATGTACAGTTATGGTGAACAGAACATGTAAATACTTATATATAAATCTTTAAATCTTTAAATCTTTTATTCAGGTAAGGTACATACATACAAGGTAAGATACAAAGTTAATGGATTTATAGATAGAGCTAGTATATACAATGACTAAAGTCACTATTACGCAAAGCGTTTCTGGCAGGAAAAACATTAAAGACTAAAACTTAATACTAATTGAGTTT